TATATTTAAAAATTAACATGTCTAGATTATAATAATAAGTATTAAAACTTTATCAAGAAAAAGGATATTTTAAAAAATTACTTCTACAGACACCTTTAATTTTTACTTAGAAATAGATAAATTTATTTATTATAAAAGAGACAAACGAAAATTTATTTGAAAAACACAAATATTTGTTTTATTTGGGTCTCTAATTAATAAAAAGCGATGAAACGCCATTTTAAACTGCGTTTTTATTCAATTAATATAATTATAAATAATATGTAGCCAAAAAAGCAGTCAAAACGCCAAATGATATTTTTTACGTCAAACCAAAAAAAGTCGCCACATTTGGCCCAATGTATCCAAATCTTGCAACGTTGGAAGACATACTAAATAAAGCTGGAGTTGTGAATCAAAGGATTATAGACCCAAGTGCGAAATAAAGAGACAGAGGACAAAAGAAGTATAAAAGGTTGAAAAATTACGGGTCCATATTTGCTGAACAGAAGATCTATTTAACCTTTCTCACTACTACATCTTTTGTCCTTTCTCATCTTTTCCTCCTTTTTCCAAAATTGGGTCTATAATCCTTTGAGTCACAACTCCAGCTTTATTTAGTAATCCTTCCGCATTCACACATCTCTAAGTACAATACAGTATTTGGAAATATTTTCTTTCCATTCAAAAATAAAATATGAATAAAGGTTTACAGCTTTGTGAAGCTTTTTTTTCAGTTTATGCCGTTGAAATAAATAAATAATAAAAAATTAAAACATTTGTCAGTTTTGTTTACATGTTTATTGGGCCGCATTGGAAATTGCCTTGGGCCGCATGCGGCCCACGGGCTGCGGGTTGGACACCCCTGATCTAAATAGTTTGTTACGGTTATATATTTAAGTTTAAATAAAATAATTATATTAGTACTAATGCAAGATTCTATGTGAAATATGAAATCTAATAAAAATTCAAGCACACAGGTGATAAATGTTATTAGTTACTGAGTATCTTATCTAATATGAAAAGAAAAAAAAAAAAATGTGCTTATAATCAGCCATTGGTATAATTGAGTTTATGTAATAGGTTATGTACTGTACAATGTTGCATTATGTCCTGAGTTTTTAGGATTTGTCTGATTTGGAATACTTTGTACCATTTGGAAAATTTTTCTCTGAATGTCCTGATTTGTTCATTTCTATCTAAACATTCTGATTTATATTTTTAAAAAATCTAGCAATGAGTTGTGCAACGATCCCAGCTGTTCTGAGATTTTATTTTAAAAATAACTTTTATATTATTAATTAATCATAATACAGTAATTACTAAATGATTGTTTGTCAAGTTAGTTTATATCACATAATTTAAAAACTGTAGCTATTGATAGAATATTTACCAATAAATGAGTTAGCAATAGCATAATTAGAAAACAAAACATTGCGAATAAATTGATGAATTTATATCGTTATGTAATTATATAAAAGTTTTGGTATGACCATTGAACGACGATTAAGATTATAAAAATACACTTAATATTACAAATTTTACATGACAATTTAAACAAAATTCTATTTGCAGTATAAAACCAATAAGAAAATTTTTTAGGTATAATATTCATTTTATAATGATCAAACAAAACTGGCGCTGAAAACGTGAGCCGTCAAGAGCTTGTATGAGGATCGGGGTAGAACGGATCTTTTTCTTTTTGATCAAATGATATACGTAGAATGTTTCTTTATTAATAAAACGGAGTCTTAATTTTATTATCTGTTAGTAAAAATAGCGTTAATTTTTACGGATAGGAACCACTACGGGCCCGGAAAAATACTCAGCTTCCTTTCTCACGGCCCTAGCTAAAAATACTAACTTCCAAGTTTGTACTAAACCTACTGTACAAATGAAGCGACTCCAGTATAGGAATATAAAAATCAAATCTTTAAATATTCTAAATAAAATAATTAGTAGTAAAAAATTAATGTGTAAAAATTCACAATAAAACCAAAATCTATTACACCATCACGGAAAATTAGTATCGTATTAGCATGAAAAGCGTTAATTATAAATGCTGTAGTTTCTCAAATAAAAGCAACACCTTATTAATTAGAGGGGAAAAAGAATTAAAATGAAGATAAATCATAGAATAAGTTTGGCAAGTATAAATAAGTAATACCGTCTTGCCTAAAATGCAATTTTAAAATTCACATTTTCGACATATTTTAATTATTTTAAAAGCTTATAAAACTAAACTATGTAAACACAGATGGAATTTTAGTTTCAAAAGCAGATTTCATTACATTAATGACTATTCTGAATCGGTTTTTAAANGACCATAGAAGGGAGGCCAGTATTTAAATGAGACTTAATTTTCTAATTATGAGTGGTTGTTTGTTTTGTGAGCAATAAAATAATTTAAAAATAATTTTTAACAATACAATAGCGACGATTATTATTTTAAAAAAATTTTGTTAGGCTTAACATCGATGGAAATTCAACGCAAAGTTGGTTAATAGCGATATACTAATATACTAATTATATGGGCTATACTAATATACACTAATATACTTTATTAATAATGTATTTTTTTCGGTTATCCGATTTTTTCAGTTATCCGACTAACCTGAGTTTCCAATTGAGTTGGATAATCGATGCTCTACTGTATATGAACTTTTGATGCAAATCAGAAGGCACATTATTTCAATTCAAAAATTTACCCCTGAAAGGAGTTAGATAGATGACTGGCACAATGCTGTTGTTAAAAGAAAAGCATGATTTACAGGGGTAAGACACTACTAATTTGAGGTGAGAGCATGTATTTTAAATTAAATAAATTAAAACTATGATTAAAAATTGCAGCAGGACATTGTAACAATGTCACAATAAATAATTGCTTGTTTATTTATTATGTTATATTAACTGATGTTAGAATTATTTATTTATTTTGGTTGCTATTCTTTATATATTATTTTATTTGTTTATTTAATTTTACAGTTTTGTATTCTTTATTTTAAATTTGTATGTTTAAATTATTTGTGTTTGAACAGTACATTGTGAAATGTTCCATTTAAAAAAGTTAGAATATAATATTACACCTGATGATGATGACCTATAGAAATTAGGTTGAAAATATTCGTGAAGATAAATAAATATTTCTCAGCAAGCATAAGATGATAAAAAGTTTGGTAACTATTTCTCATTTGCTAAGCCTGATTGTGATTGCATATTTTAAATAATTTGTTCTTTTTAGTTCAAAAACTGGTTGTTCTATTTTATAGGAGCATAAACACAATTCTGAAGGGTCTTTCCACTACTGCATTAGCTTCTTTTGCTGTTGATAATGATGTGCAAGGTAAAATTGAGGATGCAGTTACTACAATGCAGTGATGACCCAGCCAACCTGAAATATCTTGAAATATTCAAAGCATTTAAAAGGGGAACAGCAATTAATTTTAAAGAAATGGACCCATAGCAACCATGTGGAGAGCATGCTTTGACTTACATTAGATCTTGAATTAAGTTTGAATATTATATTTTGTATAGACAGTGTATTTTTAAAAATTGTTATCCAGTTTGAAAAACCTTGTTAAATGTGACATTGAGCATGCATGTATTTCACGACATTCAAAACTTTTAAATTTTTGTTATTTTCAAAACACGCATTCTATTAGTTCTAAACCTGATAATGACTGTTAAAAACAGAGGAAAACATTTGTTTTTCATTTAATTTAAATCTAATTCATGCTAGTTATTGGTATTTACATATTTTTATGAACTGAAAACATTTTAAAAATAAAGATTAAGTTTGGTAACCTTAAAAAGAAGTACAGTCAATATTTGTTCAACCAAGCTGCAAAGTTTTGTGAATCATAAAATTATCTAGCTACTAAAAAATTATATTGTAAAAAAATTAATCTAGTTAATCTACTAGTCTTTAATTAAAAACTGAAAATATTAAAAACTTACTTGCTCTTTAAAAGCAGGTGCTTGATCAACAAAACCAATTGAAAGAAAGAACTTTTCAACATCATCTATTGACCAATCCTTTGGATCTGGGACAATATGAGGATATTGTCTGCAAATTTAAGTAAGAATACCATGATATAATCATTATTTAGTTTATTAAATATATATCAACCAAGCATATGTTAAAATTATTTAAATTCATTAATTTTCAATATCAAAGTGAATTTCCTACATTTTATATAATACAATTTTAAGATTGCAGTTCTATTTAAAATATTCTATTTATATTTTCCAAGTCTTTTGTGTTGAAGTCAAAACAATTTATTTAAACATCTATTTTCAGAAAATTACATTCCCAATATCAGAATATTTTCTTTATACTAAATTATAGATAATTTTTTCAATTATAATGTAATAACTTACTTTGCATTTAATTTAAGATGCAAATATTTCATATAATATAATATAAAATCAAAGAAAATTCTATCAACTAGACAAATTAAATAAGAACTATTGAAAATCAGATATTGATTATTTTGCTAAAGTTTATTCACAATCTATTAATTTAATTATATTCTTAATTTTAAAAACATGCAAAAAAGATGATTCTTAGATCAAACATTGATATATACAATACATATATCTGTAAATATAGAAAATGAAAACTTCATTAATAAGCTTCAGTCTTAAGTTCTAATTTACTTTCATAAGTACTTTGACAAGTACTTTGATTTACTTTGATAAGTAAATCAAAGTAAATTAGTTTAAATAATTATGTTTGTATTTATTTTTCCCCCTACGGTACTCAAACTGTCATACTGAATTGATTGAAATAATGATGTTTGCAAAATACAATAAAGACAGAAATTTGTAGGAATTAGTTTTTCAATAAACAGAATTCAAATTATAGAAGTTTTGTATATATTGTAATTTATTTAAAATTAAAATTTCAGAAATATATTAATTTATGATGCCTGTAACACTATGCAGGAAGACCAAGAGAACCAAGAAAATTAACACACTGACTTTTCACTCTTGGTATTCATCTAGTCCAGGGGTGGCCAACAGTTTTTGCCCCCGGGCCAAATTGGAAAGAAAACTTTTTTCATGGGCCAAACCAGAAGCTGTCCTAGGAAGATTTTGAGGTGGTGTGAGATCTCATTGTGGTACTTATTTTAATTAACGTAAATATTCAATTTATTAATCCTGTAGAGACTAAATTATACATAGAGATTGCAGATACATTTTTCACATTACAGTATCATGCTTTATCAACTTTCTACGCTATGCTGAAGACATTTGTAACTCTAACCAGACAGTGAGTTGTTGACCTCTTTTTTTTTTTTTTTTAGGCATTAGAATTTTTCACCAGGCTATTCTGACTTGAGTAGCTAATATTGAAAGATTAATCATAGGCCACATAAATCCATTACACGGACCACATCCGGCCCACAGGCCATTTGTTGGCCATGCCTGATCTAGTCCCTACAATGCTAATTATATCCATAGCCATAATGCTTCAAGTTACATTGAATAGACTAAAATTTAAGAATACTGAGTTACAAGCATTTTAAAATAAAAGATGAGCACAGCACTCACTCTTGAGTAACAGAAAGTTAAAAAAACTGTGACAAAGGCTAGTCCATGAAATTTAACAGTGACTAAAAATTTTAATTTTCAGCAATATATACAGTGGAACCCCGGTTAACAAACTTAATCCGTTCTGTGACTCCGTTCGTTAACTGAATTGTTCGTTAACCGAAGCAATTTTTCCCATAGAAATTAATGCAAATGCAATTAATCCATTCTAGTCTCTGAAATTTTTGTCATTTTATTTGAAATATACAGTAATTTTCTTTGATGAAAATATAGGAAATTGTAGTATCTATCATTACAGCAACAAACATGTAAACTTTGTTTAATAATATCTTCGTTTGTTGTAGTTGGTGGCAGAAAAGTGGAGATATACAAACCTTAATGCTTAGAAGGGGAATCTCCTCCAAAAAAAATAACGGGCAGCACTTCATCGGAAGATTCTTCAAGTCGAAGTCTCTTTCAGTAGAAACCCACCAGTGGCTAAGTGTTCTTCGTACCTTGAACACAGGGAGTTCGTTCGTGGGTTCGCACCTCGCTCAGACAGGCTGGCCACGTGGAGTTTTCCAGGATTTCTCCACGTCTGTAACGCCTAAATAGGGGCCAGTTTCCCTTAAAAACACCTCCCAGAAGGCATTCCCCCTAGTCAGATTGCCCAAGTGTTGCATTGCCATAACTTAACAAAGAAACAAACTCTTTCCGTAAGGAACAAGAAATTGATCTAAAGATTGTCTTACTATTTTAATCAAAATTTTTCTCAAATGCAATAGCGCGTTGTCGTTTTCTATTGCCACTATGACTTTTTTCTTTCTTTGATGCCATATTGATTAAATATATAAATCACAAAACTGAAAAAAGAAGTATAGCACAAACACTCAGAAAAGCAATGCTTAACTCGCACATGCCTAACACCAACTAAAATTTGACACAAAATACCATTACGTTCGTTATTCAAGACAAAATTTTTGCAAAATAAAAGTTCGTTAACCAGGACATTTGTTAACCGGGGTTACACTGTAATTGGTTATAGATTGAAATTTTTAATATTAATTAATCAAATATGGTAACTAAGACTCAAATATAGATTTACTAATTTCATTTACTGATAAATTGTACTTTTTGCAACATATCAACAATTTACTGTTTTTAAAATTCATATTTCATATTATCTGGATGTAAGTTATAAATATTATTAAGTTTAAAATTACAATGAGTTAGAATATTTTTCTTACTTATTTGTTGTACTATCAATATTTCCATTCCAGTCTTGGCAAATATCATCTGGAACAGGTGAATCACAAGGAGTTGGAAGTCCTGATGTATCTAATTTAAATTAAATACAGTATAACTGTTAATTGAAAGTGTGATCAACAACATTTTGTTTTTGCAAAACTCAAACTTATCATACCTATGTTATTATGATTTGTTGAATTGACCTCCTTTTTTATGACAAGTTTATGCATACCAATATCCTTATTTTTATTTTCATTACATACATTGCACATCCATACCCCTGAAAGAAACAAAAATAAATATTGGTTTAATCCATTTATATTAAAATAAGAATTAAATAATTTTTTTCAAATGCATAATGTAAAATTTAGAAAATTATATTTTTACTTAGTAATTCTTAATTCTAGAAATCTAGAAACTGATGTTCATGATTAATTTTTGTATTATAATTTGTCATGAATAACAGTGGCGTAGCTAGGATTCTCTGGGCCCGGTGTGGAATCAGATTTGTGGGCCCCTGTAAATGGACTAAAATATTTTTGTGTAGTGGTTTATATAGTGTATAACTAGATTAGAGTTGAGTTGATACCTTCCTGTGTAATGGGGCCCCAGCAGCTCGAGCAGCCAAATGCCAAATTTTGCTTTGTTCCGATTGTTATGAAAAATTTTTTGGTTCTTTCTTTCCTGTGATTTTGGGGCCCCCATGGGCCTATCACTTTCCAGAGATCCGATGTGGACCCACCTACCGCACCCCCTAGCTACGCCACTGATGAATAATGACAAATTATAATACCATTTAAACGACTAATTATAAAACAAAAATTAATCACAACATTCATCAAACAGAAATCTAACAGTTCAATGTATAATAAATGAATGCTAATTAATATTATACTATTCACATTATTATTATAAAACTTCTAAATTTCAATGACCTAACATGACAAATTCAGAAGTTCAAAAAATTTAAGTAAAACATTTAGAATATTACTGGAATGATTTTATAACTAAAATTCTTTCATTATTATTAGAAGCTGAGAATCTTATATATGTATAATTATAGTTATAAATAAAATTATAATTAAAAAAAAATTCATGTAATTCAATGAAATATTGTATTTTGAAACAATTGAAAGCAATATGTAAAATGTTTCAGATTGAATTATAATTAAAAATGTACTACAGTATTTACTAATTTAAGTACATAAACTATTGATTGCTTTATGTTTTTAAACAAAATCCAGAAATCCCAAATACTTATAATTTATAAATAAAAATACTGTATATTACTTATTAACAAATAGTTATAAACAGCAATTACAAACTTATGAAACAAACAGCTATAGATTCACAGAATAATTTGGGGGCATCTCAGTACAAATGGGTCTATAACTGAAACCATCTCTGAGCTAACAATATATCTAAATCAGGGGTGTCCAACCTTTTTGTTTCTCTGGGCCGCATTGGAAGAAGTCAAGGAGTTTTGGGCTACAAGTATATATAATATAACAGGGGTGGCCAACCTGCGGCTCTTTGAAGGATTATTTGTGGCTCTCGATAAATGTACCGAGTTCCCTTTTCATTTTTGTGTTATTATATTTTAAAAAACTATTATCATTCCATATGTGTTTCAAAATGTCTTTTAAATTACTAACAACAAATATGAAAGACTAAGTGCAACGTTGTAAAAAATTTCATTTCCGTCCAAGTTAAGAATGATATGACTCATCGAAAACTGCGCGAACGAACATAAACAGTGGCTTAATCGTCCATTATCGACCGACTCCAGACCAATTTTGAAATTGTGAACTGTCATTGCAATGGACAGTTGACATTGTGCTCTGGAGGAAACAATTTGTATCACTCTTGCTACGGATATAATTTGTAATCTGGAATTTTTTGCATA